TATGACCTTTCTAAGACCTCACTCCAACTATATCACATCAACCTTGACTCTGTTTCTCCTCTACTACTAAGACCACGGTCTCTAGCTGATCTACCAAGCCCTCCCCATTCTAATCCCAATACACTTTGCTAGCACATGCCTGGCTGTTGTTCCCCAGTGGCCAGTACTGGGGATATGGTGAGTTACTAGAAATTCTGGAACATCCCACCACTTCGCTTCTGCACATTCCTTCCCTCTGCCTGAAATGCCAGCGACAATCTCTTATTCATCTTACGTTATGACTCATAGAATTTTTCCAAGATCCACAAAGACAAATATACTTTTAAAAAGCACTGTTATCTCTACACCCAGAGTATACCTTGGTATGCACCAGTATACCCTGGTACATAGAAGGTTTCAATAGATATCTGGTTTAATTCAAGATAAAAAAAATAACATTTTTCTGGGAAAACGCCCTGAAGTCCAAGAAAAGTTGTTTCTGCCTCTCTGCTCCCCAGATGCCTGGAAATTCTAATTGCCACATGATTACACAATGAGATTAAACATTTCTTGTTTTTCTCTGGGACTAGACTGAGCTCTTGGGTGGCACAGACTAAATCTTACTCATGCGTGGGTCCCTAGCACAGGGCCTGGCTGAGAGTAAGCCTGCATGGACTTCCTGGACTGGAAAGGAGAATGCTAAAGCAGAACTCTATGAGCTGAGCAGGGAGGCTGTGAGACTTTTTATTTGACAGTTGAAGACATGGAGACCCAAGGAGGGGGAAAGAATGTGTTGACTCAATTTTCATTTAAAATTGGGGACACATCCCTGGCAGGTTTGGCTCAGTTGACAGAACATCGGCCTGCAGACTGAAGCGTCCCAGATTTGATTCCAGTCAAGGGCATCTGCCTGGGTGTTGGGCTTGATCCCCATGCAGGAGGCAGCCAATCAATGATTCTCTCATCATTAATGTTTCTATCTCTCTCTCCCTTTCTCTCTAAAATCAATAAAAATATATTTTTTTAAAAAATAAAATAAAACTGGGGACACAGTCAGGATTGGAACCAGGTCTCCCAATCCGAGTTACAAAGCAGTACTGGTGGCCACTGAGCAGAGCAGGGCTGGGCCTTGCTTACCGCCCCATCGGTAGAACTGCCTTAGGTCTGCTCTTGAGACCAACATGAACACACAAGTGTCTTAATGGAAGAAGACTGGATTAAGGGGCCCTGGTTAGCAGTCACAGTGACAGCCTGGGGGCAGATGACGGAGTCCTAGGCAGGCCTGTCAGCAGTAGGATGATATGTGCCAGGAGGTAGGACCACTGCTTGACCTTCTTCTCAAACTCTGGTCCTGCTGTGTCCTCTCTGGCCAACTTCCCAGGAACCCCGTATCACTAGAGCCCAGGGTTGTGCAAAATGATACGTTATAAATAGACAGGAGTGGGCATATTTATAAATAGCTCTTCTTTTTAGTCAAAAGTGGCCTAATACGGGCAATACATGGCCCCCTTTCCCTCCCCCACTAGAAAATAGGCATGCAGGCAGGTAATAGCTCAGAGACAGCAGAGTCTTCCAAACGCCCCTTTCCTAGTCCCCTGGCTGTTTTTATTTTACCTTAATTTGCCCCCAATCAGATTGCTTCTCATTTACCAGGATACAGTATGTTAGCCTGGAGCTTGAAGCCTCTGCCGAGTCTGGCCCTTTACCTGGTGTGTCCAAACCAGGGAACTGGAACCTCCGGGGAAAGTTGAGAATAATGGGTGTGTGTGTGGGGGGAGGCGGGGGGCGGGGGAATGAGACAGCAGCTCTGCTTGACTCTCAGTGTTGAATGCATTTGAGTTGACTTGTGTGTAGGGGTGAGGTGTGCTAGGAGGAGGAAGCCAGGAGCCCCTGCCTTGAGGTGTGGGTATGGGGGGTGCTCGGTGTCCTGCTGTGGAAGGGGAAGAATTCATGATTACATTTGGTCTGAGTTTAAAGGTGCCCACAGCAAGTCTGCTGAAAAGACTCAAAGCCCTGGGCCTGGGGTGGGGTGGCAGGAGGAGGGTGACTCCAACTCAAAGAAAGGAATCAGTTTCTTTGTAAATGGGTAGGAGGGTTAAAAAAGAAAAGACAAGGAAACTAATTTCTGCAACCTCATGCAGCTCCCAGGCAAACACATTCGTCAACAGAGAAGGGCTCAGGCTCAGTGCACCATCTGAGAGCAGCAGCGGTGGCCTGATGCTCGGACGACGCCTGGCTTTCTGGGAAAAGCGCCAGGAAGGTGAATTAGGCATGAAGTACACTAGGCACTGCCGGGGCCCCCAGGGGGACACCCGCGGGTAGTTGAGGCGCCGCCCGGTTCCTCTCCGCGGCGAGTGCGCTCACTCCCCGGCCCCGGAGCCGCGGAAGGATATTGCACTTTGTTTACCGAGCCGGGACCGAGCCCGGAGCGGGGCCCGCGCCCGGGCCCGGAGCTGCCATGGCAGAGGCAGCCGCCCGCGCCGCCGGCGGGCGCTGGAGCCGCCCGAGGACTGGCAGCCTCGAGGTTGATTGATGGGCGCGGGGCTCAATGAGGAGAGCCCGCGCGGGGGAGGGGCGGGGCCGTCTCCAGGATGAGCCAATGGCGAGTGCCTCGGAGGGGCGCGGGGCGGGAGGGGCGGAGACTCGGTGGAAATGTGTCGGTGACATTGAATGGGGAGACCGAGCGCGAGCGAGGCGCGCGCGCACACAGGCGCACACCCGCCAGCCCCGCTAGCTTAGAGATCCCGGCCACGTAAGTAACTATTAATACCGCCTCGCCGGGAGATGCGGGCGTGCTGAGCTCGGGGACTGGCCTCGGGCACCGTCGGCCATCCCCTGCAATTTTAAACACTCTTCCCTCCGAGGGGGAAAGGAACACATAAAAGAAGAGGAAGAAAAGCCGGCAATTTCCTCCAAAACCAATCCGTCCAGGCAGATCGGGTTTAGGGTAGGGGAAGCCGGAGTGGTTGCAAATTCTTCCGAGGCAGGATCCGGTGACCCGGCGGGAAGGAACGCCGCGGGCTGGCAGGGCTGGGGGCGCATCCCCTTCCAGCGCCCGGAGGACCCCCGGAAGCTCGGCCAGCCGGGGAAATCGGAGACCATTGATCTGCCCTGGACTCTGCCCGCGCTTCTCCCTCTCCTCGGAGGACCACCCGGAGCCCCGGCGAGCGGCGGCAGCATGAGCCTGTGCTGACCGCCGGCCGGCCGGCCAAGCCTGCGCTTCGTCGCGGTACCTGAGCCCGGCCCGCGCCGCCACCCCGCGCCCGGCTTTTGCAATCTTTTGTTGGCCGCGCTGACCGCTCCAAGTTAAATGCTCCCTTGCTTTTTTTTTTTTTTTTTTTGGTCTGTTTGTTTAATTCTTGGGAGAGCTCTTGCGATCTTGGAAAAGCCTCAGACGCCATCTACAGTTAAGTCGTAGATAACTACCCTCTCCGGCAACCCCCCCCCCTTCCACGCCCCCCCACCCTTTCCACCAAAAAAGGGGGTGCAGCGCGGATTCCGCCTGCCGCGCGGCGCGAGCCGGTAGACCCGTGCTGATTTCCTTTCTCTTTTTGTCGGGTTTCTAACGCGCGGAGAGCAAGCGGCCGCCGTGCGCTCCCCGAAGATTGCACCAACTCGAGCAGGGCTCCTGCCACCCAACCCGCCTGCAAGTCTGAAGCCTGCGTGGGGGTCGCTCCGGGGGACCCGGCGCTGCAGCTCCCACTTGAGCAACCCGGCTCCTCGCCTAGATCCACGTTGGAAACAGAGGGAGAGAGAAACTAAAAGTGCCGCGATTCTGCACATCGCTGGCTGCTTTGGGGCAACAAAAGGACCCGAGCCGCTGCCGACCTAGTGCCCCCGGGAGCCGGGCTCGGAGCAGACCAGGTGCCCAGCTGCGCCCTGCTGGGGCTTCTAACTCTCTCTCCGCGCAGCCCCCTTCCCGTCCCCTCCCCTCGCGCCCCCTTTTAAAATCCGTGGCACGGAGGCGCCTGCAGCCGCGCTCGCCAGCGACTCATCCCTCCGGCGGGTTTTTGTTTGCTGGTCGTGTGCGATCCCCACACTCATGAACATACACAGGTCTACCCCCATCACAATAGCGAGATATGGGAGATCGCGGAACAAAACCCAGGATTTCGAAGAGTTGTCGTCTATAAGGTCCGCCGAGCCCAGCCAGAGTTTCAGCCCGAACCTCGGCTCCCCGAGCCCGCCCGAGACTCCGAACTTGTCGCATTGCGTTTCTTGCATCGGGAAATACTTATTGTTGGAGCCTCTGGAGGGAGACCGCGTTTTCCGCGCGGTGCATCTGCACAGCGGAGAGGAGCTGGTGTGCAAGGTAACGAGCCCTCGGCTGGGTTTGGCTTTTTTTGTCTTTTCAAAAAGATTCCCAGGCCTCTGCAGGGGGCGGGAGGTCGCCCAGCCTGGCGTCTGGGGAGGGAGATTCCCCGGGTAACACATCCGTGGCCTTGCTCCAGGGGCTTCTTTATTTATTTGTTCCCGGGCGACTAGTTGTGGCGAAGTTTTCCGAGCGGTGCAGACAATGGGGAGGGCTGCGGCGGGGGCGTCCTGGGGAAGCCCGGAGCGGCGAGGGCGGCGGGACCCCGCGAGGGCCACGGACACGCGTGGCCCCAGAGGCTCGTGGAGCGCCTCCGCGCGGGACCCTGCGTCCTACCGCCCAGGGGATGTCTCCGGGTGTCCAGCCCCCTCCCCTTCCAGCCGGGAGCAGGGAATCCCCCGCTCATTTCAAGGCAGAGATGACCCGGTTCCTCTCGCAGCCATTGTTCTGAGCAGCGTGCAGGTGTTCGAGCTTTGTTCCGAAGGTGCCCTTTCAAAGGGACGCACAAAGGTGTCCCCTCTGGCTGAGCCGAGGGGCCCAGCGCAGGGAGCTTGCTTCTGCCTGGAGCCTTAAAGGAGGCCTGGTGGGTGGGAAATCAAAGCCGCCTGCACACCTCCGGGTGTAGGAAAATAGTGACTCCTCTGGGTCCCTGGCTTGTGTCTGTTTCTTCTCATCCCCAGACTTCCGTGCTTGAAGGCCCCTGGCGCTCCCCCTTTCCCCAGCCCCTGCCCCCCCCCCCCCAACACCTTTGCCTGAAAGGTTTGGAGCCTCAGGATATTCTCCCTAATGCAGAGATGGACCCTACGATTGATTTCCTTTTTGTCTTTGACCCTGAACAGTGACTGGTTTATGCATGTGTGTCTGTGTGTCTTTGTAGGCACCCACGGGGCACCAGACGAGGGGATGAGCAGGAGGATAGTTGCAAAAGCAAAAAAAAAGGACATTAGAGCACACCTCTACCGAGGAATTGGACATAGATCAAGAGCTCATTGTCACTTCATTTTAGATTTGCTCACTGTTGTTTTCCCCCCCACTGGAGGGTGGGAGTGGGGGTTGGGGGTTAGAGGGATGGGGTGGAGAGGGGGGCCATCAGGAGTGGGGACCCCTGCTGTCTTTGAATTGCCTGACACTTTTACCATCAACCACAGGCTTTATTTCATAGGGGACTGGAGTGTTTCATTGTAAGACATGGGTTTTGTGGAACTCTCCAGTCAGTTTTGCAATTGCTCGGATTAGACCTCGGGGGGAAAAGAAGAGACTCTTTTAAATACTGCTCTCTGCTTGCACCGAGCATTTGGTATTTTGCATCTTCTGAGTTATTGACACCCAGAGCAACTGTGCCTGGTTAACCAAAATTCAGTAGGCTATTCAGAAGACCGACAACGTTGCACAATAGGGTAGTCATCCTTTGAAATGAATGAATTCCACAGAGCTGCCACTCTGCTAGGAAATATGCACAATCACCCAGCAGTGAGCGTTTTCACTCCTTTCGCTCAACTCGGGCACAGCATTTTCATATTTTTTCAAAGGCTGGAGGTGCTTTGAAGCGAGGGGACTCTGCCACCCGAGTCTGCAGCAGCGTCTTGCTGTTATTTCTTTGTTTAAAAAGCAGAGGTGCCTCGGGCCCCTGCTCTTTCTTCCTCGGTTCGGCTTCTTCGAGCCATATTTCACGTTGGGCTGACCTCACAGTGTCGTTTGCAGACTTGCTCTCTGGCCCCTCACTGTACTTCATCTGCTGGTTTTGTGATGGCAAAGATTGAAGCAGCCCCTCGCCAATTACTGTGTGGCTGCGAGTGGCTTTAAGTGCAGTATCATTGTTCTGCTTGACAGAGGTCATCCCTTTAAGACACAGCAGCCTCTGTGCCCCTGCCTTTTTACCAGAGGTGATGGTGGCATCCATGCAAGCACAGTGGCGTGCGGGAGGTGCTTGGGAGCTCTCAGTGGTGTTTCAGGGTGGCTTCCATGAGCTCCCCTCAGATGTGTACTGTGGGCGCTTAGCTTACTGCAAGGCTGAGTGAAACCTATGCATCGATGACTTAAAATCTAGAGTTCTTGTCTCCTAGCTCGGTGTTGATCCAAGAAAAAACGTTTGCAAATAAGATGCCACTTATTGCAGAGGACTGTATAGAGAATTCTATGGGACATTATGGGGGTGGGGGGTGGGGGAGGGGGGAGGGTCATTTAACCCAAATAGTCAGGCCTGCTCATTGTCCCCATGCCTACAGTAAGCAAAGGGAGGGAGGGAGTTTTAAGGGCCTGTAGCTTCTGGCTTTCATGGAAGTGCAGGTAGTTACTGTGCAGATTGACATACTACCATCTTGGCAGAATCCCCCCCCCCTTTTTTTTTTTGCAAATGCTATTAAAGATGGCCCAATCTTACTGCTTTATCTGAACTGTCACATTATATACCTGAGGGTCTAAATTAAACATTCAAAAGCAGCCGCCAACCAGGCTCATGGCTCAATTTTGCACTTGAAGGTGATGGTTTAAGTACCAATCCAAGCCCATAAATGCCTGTTATAGCTGCTAATAAACGTTTGGTTCCTGCCCATTTGGGAAAACATTCGTCCTGGCTTTATTTTCCATTCTCCGTCCACCATCTTGGAATCTGGTCTCCTCTACAAAGGCTATGGCTACTATTGATGCTGCCATGAAGGTGTTCGATTTTCTTTTTTTAAATCTACATCCATTCAGTGTTTCAGCATTGGGCGGGATCATCGACTAAAGGTGCTGAGCAAAAAAAAAAAAAAAATCACTTTTTATTTTTAACAAATGCACTTGAAACGGGAAGTATATTGTAAATAACGGTACCTGCAGCCCGCTGGCAGACACGCGGCGGTTATGTAAGCGCAGCGCCTGCATTAGCCTCTGCAGAGCGCTCACACTCGCCCAGGTTCCCCAGGCTGCCTGGGTCCCTGCTCCCTGCAGTCGGGGTCTGGGTGTTACAGTTGACTCAAGCGTAGCAGATGCTTAATTGAATGGACCTCCAGGGTCAGCGCTCGGAGGTCATCCTTTGACAGCCTCGGGGTGTGATTTGTGGTCCCTGGAGATGCTGACGGACTCATTCTTAAAATCGAGGGCTTTCCTGAGATGGCTCATTATGGTTCATTCACAAAGTTACTGCGCTTCCTCGCCCAGGGTTTAGCACCGGCGCTTCCCAGGCTCTTGCTCACCCTGTCTGATTCATAGGTTTTATTTTTTGAAGCTGAGAGTGACTTCACTCATGGATTCGGAGATGGCAGCCTGCATCCGTGGATGGTTTCAGGAGGCCTGTGTCTTCTCTTAAAATAAATCCAGTATCGTGGGTGCATTTGGGAATAGGCATTGTCGGCTAAGCGCTCTTTTCAGGTTCTCATGTGGGATCCAGACCCCCAGAAGGTCGGTGGGGCCCTAAATCAACGTCTCCTGTTTATGAAGGGGGTGGGGGGGCGTGGCCCTAATGCTTTGTACCCACCTCATCCAGATTAGCAGTGGCCCAGCCAGGATTAGAGCCTCAAATTTGGTGATTTCTAGGCCAGCGTTTTCCCCACGGCCCTGCAGAATGCTGCTAAAGGAGAGCATGTTTTAACTCATGAAAAAGAAACACGGGAAGTTAAATGACGGTGCATTGATCACACAAAGCATCTTGTTGTCACAGCGATCCCGCTCTCCAGGGAGGCACCCCACCCGCGCCGGCCCCCACTCCTGCAGGCACAGGATGGATTCTCGAACCCACATTCCCAGGCAGATGGTGAAACCACATTCCAAACCCAGGCCTTTGTGGTCCTGATTCAGGGGAGGGCTGCAGATGAATGAACGCTTTTTAATTTTTTTTCACCCTCAGAACTCTCTGCAGGCTAATACCTCTCATGTCTGTTGCAAAAAGGTGTGGAGGGTGGATTTTCTTTTTCAATAACCCCACAATGAGGCAGCATTTCACAGGCTCCTTTTGATTCATAGGAAGTCGTTGCATAACTGATTCATTGAGCTAGAATCTGTGGAGGGAAGAGAGAGAGGAGCATGCCTGCCTTCCTGGGAGCAAGGACAGCGTCCTGTTCCCAGCCCTGCCACCAGGGGCTGGATGGGACTTGCTCTCAGGGGCTCCATTTCCACATCTGTGAGAGGGAGGCATGGCGGCCTGGGCATGTAATCTAGTAACTGCTAATGTGTCGTATAGTGCTATATGACTCCGTTGTATTGCACAGAGTATGTGGTCTATAATGGTTATACAGGTAGCTGAATAGTGTTCATGTCCATTTTTCTTTTCTTTCTTTTTTTTTTTCCCCTGAAGGAACATAAGGTGTTATCTCTGGAGCTTGGGATGGGTCATTCTCCGATTTTGCATTAATTCTTCTTAAACAGAGTTAATTGGGAGAGAAAAGTAATAAGATTGACCTTTTGTGGTGATTTTTTTTGTCTTGCAAAAACACTCTTACCTTCACTTTTTCATATCATCCTCCCAAATAGCATTTGCCCATATTACACATGACGTCTGGGAGGCCCAGAGAGGCCCAGCGACTTCTTCAAGGGCGTCCAGCTGGCAGGACACAGGCCCAGGGTGGTCTGGGTTCCAGGTCAGCACACCCTTTGTCAGCAAAAGCTGGTCCCTGTGGGAGGTGCTCGCATGCTGTGATTGGCCGTCCAAGAGGCCCCTCTGACTCTTGGTCTTGTTGTTCACTCTGCCCTAGGTGTTCGATATCAGCTGCTACCAGGAGTCCCTGGCCCCCTGCTTTTGCCTGTCTGCCCACAGCAACATCAACCAAATCACCGAGATTCTCCTGGGGGAGACCAAAGCCTATGTGTTCTTTGAGCGGAGCTATGGGGACATGCATTCCTTCGTCCGCACGTGCAAGAAGCTGAGGGAGGAGGAGGCGGCCAGACTGTTCTACCAGATCGCCTCTGCCGTGGCCCACTGCCACGACGGGGGGCTGGTGCTGCGTGACCTCAAGCTACGGAAATTCATCTTTAAGGACGAAGAAAGGTGAGTCTCATTTCCGTCCACACCACCACGGCTGCTCTGAGCAGCCTGCTGAGAGCTGCGTGGAGGCTGTTCTGCTGCCTGTGGTCTGGGTGTGGGGAAGACAGCCTGAAGGGACAAAGGGGTGAATATAAGGCTTGACGTGCCCTTGGAAAATAGTCACCCCTCACTCCCAAGGTGTTATCCGATGCTCCAAGGACAGGTGCAGGGTGTGTTGTGACCTGCTAACTATTTTGGTTTTGGTGTTCTGAACTCTGAAGGTGGCTGCCAGCCTGGGTGGCATTTTCAGTGTGAATGAGGCAAGATTTTCCAAACCCTACCTTCAGCACATTCAGTGCCTGGCATCCATCCTTTAATATTCATTCATTCATTCATTCATTCATTCCCTCCTTCAATGGGTATTTCCTCAATATATAGTATTAGTCACAGTTCTCAGTGCTATGAATAACAAGATACATTTACTAGTCAACTGACCTACAAAGATGGTGTTACAGGCCCTAAATAAAGGTAGGTAGTGGGTCAGATGGGATTGGGGGCTGGGATGGCGGTACCAACTAGGATGCAGAGTCCAGAGGTTTTTGTAAGAGCGATGACTCTGGGGCCAAGACTTGAAAGAGGAATATGTCATAGGCCACGTGGGCAGGACCGGCCTTCCAGGTGAGAAGCCTGCCGCCGCACATCCACGGCCCGCGAAGGTCCCGGTTATTTTTGGAGACAGCTGGACAGGATGCTGGGCATCTGGCTTCCATTTCTGGTTCTTCCATTAACTCATTACATTCTATTTAGCAGACCCCACGGGGGCCCTGCTTTCTCCTCCAGCTGACTTTGATTGAAAAAACTCTTTCAAGTTCCTTTTTCCTTTCTAATAATGTGCTTTTTTAGGGGGGGTGGAGGCAGCTGATTTATCTTCATCGCTGACTATTCCAAGAATTGTCCTAGAGGGCCTACGTGCGTGAGGTCACGGAATCCTTGGGGCCGCCTGTTGGGAAAGTGGATAGTGGCGTGCAAGTCCATTGTCACAGCTGTTGCACACCGCCTGAATGCAGGTCCGGCACGCGTCACTCACTCCGCTCGCATTTCTGGAATGCCTTTTGTGTGTCTGCACAGGGCTTGCTATCTTCCACCCCAGGGGCCTGTGATATTTTTGGGCTGTTGCTTATAGGCATCTGAGTGAGACAGATCCAGTGGCGTGGGCGTGGGTTTTCCCTCGTGTGCTTTGAGCTGATGGGGAAGTAAATGCCTGGGAAGCATTTGGGGATTAACAAGGGAAGAGGGCCCGTGGCTGCGTAACCCAAATGGAATAATTCCGTGAGCGTTATAATCCAGATGGTGTACAAAGTGCAGACGCCACTGGGTTCCCCAGACCCACAGAGGTTGGGTATCGTTCCATATTTACACCCATTAAGGGGTGTCAGAGGTATCTGTGGCAGTTACATTGATAGTGAATGGCTTTTAGGTCTTGATAGTGAATGGCTTTTAGTTTTATTAACAAACTGAAGAAGAGAGAGATACCCTAAGATCTAGAGCAGCCGTGGGCATACGGCCCGCGGGCCGGATCCGGCCCGTTTGAAATGAATAAAACTAAAAAAAAAAAAAGACCGTACCCTTTTATGTAATGATGTTTACTTTGAATTTATATTAGTTCACACAAACACTCCATCCATGCTTTTGTTCCGGCCCTCCGGTCCAGTTTAAGAACCCATTGTGGCCCTCGAGTCAAAAAGTTTGCCCACCCCTGATCTAGAGTGTGGGGGATGCTTATCTTTTCTGCAACTCAGAGGCTTCTGCCCTTGAAGCCTGGAGGCCCAGGCCCTTACCTGGTTTTGCCTTTAATATCCTGTGTGACCTGAGTTGGTCCCCTCCCCCAGCCTCTAGTCCTTATCTCTGTCCTGGCTGTTATATTGGCTCCAAGGTCTTTCTGAGCTATAACATTCAGGTATGTGCTTTTTTGAGTACTCTCCTTTGGAAGGTAGATCTATATCTGAAAAGGCATCCTTTAAAAAAAAAATTATTGTCCCCCTTTTTCCTCTACTGACCCCTTCTAGCTGCCCTCCTCCCTCCCCCACCCCCCCACTTCCCTCAGGCCTTCACCACCCTATTGTCTGTATCCTGGGGATATGCATATATGCATATAGTTCTTTGGTTGATCTCTTCCCACCCACCCACCCCTGCCTTCCCCCTAAGATTCAGCAGTCTGTTCTATGCTTCTGTGTCTCTGGATCTGTTTTGTTCATCAGTTTATTCTGTTTATTAGATTCCACGTATGAATGAGATTTTGCCCTCCTGTGTTCCGCCTTTCTTGGAGATGTATCCAAATGTGAACTACAAATGTAAGAGTTAATATGTGGTGGCATCTATAAGGTCCTTCTCTGAGGTTATCCTGTAACTTACTTCTCCCTGTAAACTGGAGAGGTGACAATCGCATGTCCGGGTTACTGAGGGGGGCTCCAAAGGGCAGCATGTGGGGGGGAGGGGGGGTCTCAGATGGGAAAGAACAATCGTCTGGGCAGGTTCTCTGATGAGACAGCTCCCAAGAAAGCCACTTGCCTGACAGACGGAGCAGGACAGCAGGTGGATGCCCGTCTCTGGGATCCCCTTTTGAAGCACCATCTTTGATCGCCTCTCTTCAGAGAGGAGTTTCAGGCATCAGCAAGCACCTGGGGTGGCAGGTCCAGCCATGGCTCACCATGGTCCATGTGTGTTTGTGAAGTGAGGCAGAGTAGGGTGGACGTCCCGGGTCACAGGACGTAGAGCAGGAGTGGCGTCTGGGAGTCCCCAAGGGTCTGGGAGGCCAAGCCCAGAGGTGAGCTTGCTCCGGTGCCCACAGCTAGCTGGCAGCCAATAGGGGCTGAGGCAGAGCTCACACTCGCCTTTGTGGGGCTTTCCCAGGCCTGGCCTGCCCTGCCCTCTATGACAATGGGTCGAAGGGTTGCCAAGGAGCATGTCTTGGCAAAGCCCAAATCCTTGATGTCCTTGCGCCTCGGGAAGACACACCAAGATGCAAGAAGCTTCCAACAGGAGGATGGTGATCACTGGTGTTCGCTTCGGAGTTATGTTTGACTTTTGCAAAAGAGCATGACCCTTTCTAGAAAGAACTAGAAAAAGTGTCCCATGTGGTTGGGAACCCAGAACCGTTCCCTGGAGCAAACATATCAAAGCTAAACCCTTTTGCATTTTAAGGAGCATTTGCCTTTTGTAAAAGAAAACATTAGCCTGTCATCTGTCCCCCGCATGTCTCAGAGCACGTGGTCCCTGCAGCCCCGCTTTCCCGAGGGGCCACGGGAGAGGAGAACCGCCCCATCTGATGGGTGGTGATGGCCACACAGGAGTGAAGTGACCTTGCTCAAGGTCACACAACCTGTTTGACGATGGCGCTAGCCTGGAAATCCTGTCACTTCCCCCCAGAGCCCCATGGCCTGCTGCGGTCCCAGGGGACTGGCTGTTCTGCACATGACAAGTGTCTCCGTCTGGTGGGTCAGTGTTCTCATCAGTAGCTGCTAAGACTTTTTTTTAAACCAACTGTCAAGTGTTTGTAAAAAGGGAGTCATGCCTCGTAGCCTTTTCCTTCTTAGTGTTGTTTTGGATTTGAACCTCGGTTGCAGAGTGTGAGACCCCGGTTTGTCACGCATCAATCAGAGTTGTCCCTCGTGATTCCCAGCAGACGAGTCTCCGGGGCCCGCACAGTGGCCTGCAGGGGCCCTGGGACCTCGTGGGGGCCTCGCTGCTGACAGATCTCACCTTCCATCTGGTAACTAGGACCTAACCCATAGGCGTTTCAGTAGGACCGAAGCGTCCTCCTCTCCTGATAGACAATGTGGGAAGCAGTGGGTTGGACCTGAAAGACTTTTGGGAGGGAAATGACGGCATTTGCCTGTTTTCTGCCCCTTGATGCATGGTCCTCAGAGGGAAAAGCATAGATGAGACTTGGAAGGGCTGCTTTATTATTAATCTTCAAATGTTTGCACATTAGTCTTCTCAGAGATAGGCGTCTCCTTCCTTGATGCCCTTGAAAGTGATTGGAGGCACAGGCATTACCCATTGGAATTGGCGGCACCTGGTCCAGAAGGAGACCTGCCTGTGGGCGGCTCCCGCGCGTAGACTTTCCGTCCTGGACCACCTGGAACTCTGAGTCCATGGTCAGCCATCGAGTGGCACTGCCAGCACCGGAAGGCATTGCCCACGGTCACGTTGCAGACGTTGTACGCAGATGACACTCAGCCTTGCCTTCGACCCGAAGCCCGTGCGCCTGTGCCGTCTGCCTCTGGGTTGCAGTAGCAGCATCTCAGACTCTCCTGCTTCTGTTTTATTTTGATTGAGGCTCGAGATTCAAATTCTGGCTCTACCACGATGAGCCACCTGATCGTGGCTACGCGATGGAACGCTTCTAAGCTGCAGCTTCCTCCGAGCTGAAATGACAGGGGCATCCCTGGGAGGTGGTTGTGAAAGTTCAAGGAGAGGATACTGCGACTCACAGGGTGGGGCGGGCTCTCACTGATGGACAGCTGGTCCTAGAGTCATTGATGAAACTATGGTGAGCGGTTCCCAGGGTTCTGTGGGTTCCTGGGGGAATGTGGCCCGTCTCTCCGGCAGCCATTTCCGTGAAGAGCGGGGGCTCTTGTGATGTCAGGGTTCAGATTGAAGCCACATCCTCTTCACTGAATCAGTGCTGGGAGGGTGACTGGTAGAGGTCAAGTGCATGTGCTGTGGAACCTTCTGCTCTGAAAGGCCAGACGGTTGACAAGATGTACGCACAGGAAGGTGGACACCAGGCTCACCGGAGAGTGAAGGGTGCCACCCACCGGGCCTGGACCGGCCCTGTTTCCTGCCCTGCGCCTCCACCTGCCCTGATGTTTCTGCGGGCACAGCCCCCCTTCTTTTGTTTTCGTTTTGAGGAAGTTAAACCCCTACCCGGGTTGAATTCGTCCTGTGCACACCCTTTGCATCCATAGTTCCTATAGTCAAATCTGCACGGAGGGGCCCCCTGAGTGTGGGTTGGGCCTTGA